AATAGTGCAATTAACAAGATAAATCAAAGAGAGTCAAAAGTTATGGACAGATCCAATGATTATCCAATAGCAGTAGGAAATCAGACTAGCCATATGTCTTTTATCAAAGTGGTCAAACCGATAAGGAACAAAAGCACGTCATTCTGTAATAAGGGATATAAATAGCCATTTACCACCATAGTGTCTGGGAGATTTGTAGCTACTGGGATCTCCCAACTTGGTGGAGATATCATTGTTGGAGCTAGATCTTGGTAGATACACTCCAACATGGGGGAACACAATTCAAATCCCTTTAGGATTTGTCCATATTAAACACACCCCTGTTAGATTAATCCTTTATGAGGAAACATGTCCAAAATATATATCCATGAAAAAAAAAAAATTATGGTGCCAAATCATGTTCTATACATTTTTCAAAGAGATAAGAGATGTTTTTACCAAGTGGGTCTAGGACCTTTAGAGTTTATCATGCAATGCCAAAAAGTTCGTACGAGATCCCTAAAATTCTGAGTGTACAGACAATAATCCCAACCATAGGGAACTTCTAGCCAATCAAAATCCCATGCTCCCGCTACCAATGGGAAGACTCCATCTTCTCTTCATAGGGGATTGATAGAATGGTTGTGGGAAAACAGTTCAGGCTAGCTGTAGAAACAAAGAGAAGCATTCACCTCACAAAAAACTAGAAGAACAAAATCTGAAAACAGAAACCCTTCCAAAAATAAGGAAAAACCATCCCAACAAAATATGCCACAGAGGCAACAACAACACCATGAAAGTTGACATGAGACAAGTGAGAAACAAGGACTTTTGTGATGGAGAAGGCAGCCCATCGGCAGCACTAGTGAAAGTTGAAATGGGGCAAGGCAATGGAGACGGCAACCTCAAAAGGAAACAGTTGTCTGAGATTGGATGGGAGCCAACTCTTGTCCAGTATAATTGAAATAAATGATATCAAATGAACTCACCTCCTAAAGAGTCAGGCTTCTTGTAATACGTCGAACCACCACTCTGTCACTTTGAAAACATCTTACCATCCCCACCTCATCCTTCCTTCTACTAGCCCGCTCATCTTCTTGGATACACTACTCACTAATGACTCATTCCATATCCCTGCTCCATCCAACTACACCAATGTGCTCATGGCATTTGCACTACCAAAGCACGGGATTATTTATTGCAGTAATTATTTGCTGTGCTTAACAATAAACCCTCTCACACATCCGTTATGCAACCTTCGAAGATCAGATTTCCTTCTCCAAAACATCATCACTCTTAGCTCCCATTCATAGCTGAGATCCCAAACATTGAGATCCACCATCCTGCATTTCTTTCCATGACGTACAAATGGTATAAAGCTATACCTCAACAATGTCTTGGGATTATAAATTCCTCTCCCCCTTGCACCCTATGTCAATTTCCACACCTTGGGCCCAGCAAACCCACATCAAAGAGAATTGAGAAATATAAATAAAGGCAGCAGAGAGAAATGAGATGGTCAAGAAATCTTTGTTCTACTAATGGAAGCGTACATTTTGCATTTCCCCAAAAAAATAATGAGATTTCCTTGCTTTTAAATTTTAATAATGGATTCGATGTAGCCTTCTCTCTCTTTAATGAAAAGTGTTAATGACCACAGTAATGAAGCAATGAGGACCTTTTTCTGCGAGGCTATACCCCACCTTTATCTTAGGAATGTAAATACCCCTCTCTTGCACCCCCTGTCGATTTCCACGCTGGGAAATAACATGGCCTAGCAAACCAGTGTTCGCAAAATCAAATCGGAATGGTTAACCGGACACGGGGCTGCGAGTGGTTTGAACCGGAACAGGATAACTGAGGCGGTTAACCGGACTAACCGGTCAAGTAGATTTTTTAAAAACAAAATGGGTCAAAAACCCCCCTAAAAAAAATAATAATAGAAAAGCTTAGATTAAGTGTATAATATCTTATTATATACATTTATCTTACAAAAAAAAATTGAAACAACTTTTTATAAATTAATATTTGAATACTAAGGTCCTGTACATGATCCCAAGAAGGTCACGTAAATCCTTTTGTTTCCTAGATTAGGATATTCTTTGAAGATACTTTTGTCGTGTAACATGGTCTTCCAAGAATTAACATAATCATCCCAAACCTTACATGAAAAACTTTCTAGTTTCTTGTGTACAAAAATCGCTCACATTAGGAATGAAAGCTTATGCACTTTTTTGCAAATAACGAAAGTAGCTCGATGCTATTAAATCAAATAAAAATGCCAACTAATTAAGACAGGAAACATAAAGGACCTCTTCCATATAGTTAGATAAAGCATAATTCATACAATACATTTTTAATGAAGTTAAGTAAGGCATACTTCACAAAAAGTACATCTCATGATATGCAATAAAACGAAAAATCAATGCACAACACACTAATATGTTCTACCGTTCCTATATTTCCTTATATGCATCTACCATATCCATATCAGCATTGTTGTGCATTGATTTTGACAAAAAATAAGAACAGTATAACAAATAATTTGATAAAAAAAAAAATTTATTAAGCAAAATAGAAAAACACTTCCCATAGTTATCATAAAACATAATTTTATTAAAAAACCATAATTTTATCAAAAAATAATTTTATTAAGAAAAATGGAAAATCACTTCCCATATTCACCATAAAACATAAGTTTATTAAAAAACCATAATTTTATCAAAAAAATTAATTTTGTTAAGCAAAAAAGAAAAACACTTCCCATATTCATCGAAAAACATATTTTTTATTAAAAAACATAATTTTATTAGAAAGATAATTTTATTACGCTATATAGAAAAAAACTTCCCATATTGATAAAAAAATCATAATTTTATTAAGCGAAATGAATTCTTTTTTTTTAGAAAAATTAATTTCTCAAAATGTGAGGGATGATTTGAAATTAAGATCACCTTTGTAAAACTCACTCTGTGTGTGTGTGTGTGGAATCAGGCCAGATCGGGATCGGCCAGTGACCAGTCCCGAGTTAGTCCACCGATTTTTTAAAAATCGGCTGATCTTTTAAACACTTTTTCCATAACATTCCAAAAACCTTGTTAGAAAATGAAAAAAAAAAGAAAAAAAAAAAAGATAAAGAGAAGATCCAAGCACATACAAGACAATGGTGCAGTGTTTCATTGAACATAAGACAACCAAAATTTCTGCATGCACTTAAAAAAACAAAATGTCCCATTCCCATCCTTACTGATATAATTATATCATGCACTTAAAAAAACATAATTAAAAAAATCGAGCAAAAGATCGAGTGATATTATCATGCACTTATCAAAAAGAAGGATTAATTTCATCAAAAAAATAATTTTATAAAAAAGAATAATTTTACTAAGCAAAATGGAAAAACACTTCCCATATTCATCGAAAAACATAATTTTATTAAAAAAATCATAATTCTATTAAAAATAAGCTCACCATGGAAAATAAAAAAACACTTCCCATATTCATCAAAAAACATAATTTTATTAAACAAAATATTTTTTTTAGAAAAATCGATTTTTAAAAAACGCGTAAAATCGAGCAACATTTCGAGCAAGAAACAACCCTCAATGTTTGGATAATTGAACAAATAAACATACATGCATTGTAAAAGCTTCGATCATCTTTCAAACGAACCAAATCTCATAAAAAAATATTCCATATTTTAATTTAATTGAAAAAATGGGGGAAATTTGATATCTATGAAATTTTCATGATATGGTGCAACAAATAAATTCATATTAAAACATTTAATCAATCATAAATATACCTATTTTATTTGAGAGATTAATTCTTGATTATCAAAATCCACAACTCAATTTGATAAAAAATGACCAATACATTGATAAAAATGTGTTTTTGGATCAAACACAGGTTCTTTCAGCAGCAGCATTTCGAGCCAAAATCAACCCATAATATTTGGTTTTTTGAACAAATTGAAATATGAATCTGATAAATACTTCAATTATCTATCAAACCCACCAAATTTCTTCAAGAACCATTAGGTATTGAAGAAATTATTGAAAAAATGACAAATTTTCAAAAACCTAAAAAAATCCGCTTTCAATACAAGAAACTCTTTTTTTTTTCAATGTTTCAAACCAAATTGCTTGTTTTATAGATTCTACATAGTGATTTATGGCAATAAATCATGAAAAAAGACAAAAACAGGCACGAAAAAGAATAAAAAAAAGTGAAAAATTGGATTTAAGAATGTCTGCTACAAATAACGGCCCATATTTCAAAATAACGGCCGTAACGGGTACATAACTGTTATTTCGTAAAAACGTCTGTTATATCGTCTAACCGGTCCGGTTAGCATAAAACCGGTCGATTATACTAAACAATGGCCGGTTCGACCTCTAACAATCTGGTTTTGGGCCAAAAAAATTTTGAGGGTGTACCCTAGGCTACTAGTACCCCTCAACCGGCCCTAACGGGAGTCAGAACCATGGCAGTTCTGATCTAACCGGCAGGTTTTGCAAACAATGGTTTGGTATTTGAAATGAGGAACAATAAGGGGCATTTACATCACTTGACATAGAGATGCTTATATCATTCCGTTATGTTATTTGATACAAAGGCTATGTGAAATAATGTAAATACCCTTCACTGTTACTTATTTCAAATACCGAACAAATTTTTTTTGACGAAGTTAAACTTGTATTACAAGAGGTAAAATTTTACAAGGGTGTTCCGAAGTCGCCCACAACTGGGGACGCGGCAAAAAATCATACAGACTATCATATACAAAAAGGGCTTATAGAGACGCCCACATACAAGGATATACAAAGGTATTTTCAGGAAGAACCACCAACACGAGCAGGGAGCTTTAAGTAGTGTGCCAATGGTCCTGCGCAAAAAAGAAGGTGAACCCGGCTTGAGTATCTTGCCTTTGACTTCTAGCTCCCTCTTTCATCAACCGATCTACGTAATCATTGGACCTCCTCCATATATGCCTCCATAAGACATCCATAGCCCTGCATATGTGGTGTATCTCATCAAAAATTGCAAAAAGGTGCCAAGGTGGAGGGCTAGTACTGCTTGCCCAGGAGAGGACGTTTTTTGAGTCACCTTCCACTATGAGGTGCAAACCCCAAGATTGATTATACCGTTTCAATGCTAATAATAGAGCCAAAGCTTCAGCTTGATGAGAGTCCTTGTGGCCTATGTGTTCAAAAAGAGAGATTGATAAAGCCTTTGTGGTCTCTGAAAGCCCCTCCTATTCCAGCTGGGCCCGGGTTGCCTAGGGAGCATCCATCAAAGTTCAACTTGATGAAATCCTCTGGCGGAGGTTGCCAATTATTTGGCTTTGTAGTCAAGTGCGGTTGAAAGTGAAGGATTGGAAAGGAAGAAACTCGCTAGTATGCCTGCAAAAACCTTGTGATTCGAGACCCAAAAAGTTACCAAAGAGATGGACTTTTGGAAGATAGCCAAAGTTTGGAGTTTAGTGCTGAGAAAGATTCTATCGTTTCTTTCTAGCCAAATTGTCCAGATGGTTGCAGCTACTGTTGCCTTCCACATGACTCTCCAAGCCTTAGGCCAGTATGAGTCAAGTTCATAAGAGATGAGGGCCTTAATTGAGGTAGGAGTGACCCAATTAATGCCAAAAAGTTGCAGGACACGACCCCAAATATCAAAGGAGAAGTCACAGAGAATAAAGAGGTGGAAGTTTGTTTCCTCCTCATATTCACATAAAGCACACCTAATGGGAATGGGGATAACTCTTTTCTTAAGATTATCCACTGTGAGTGCTTTGTGAGAGAAAGCTAGCCAGTTGAAGGTCTGGGTTTAGGTGAAGCAATGGTGCTCCACACTTTTGATTGTGCCGAGGTTAGAGAACCCGAGGCAGAGTGAAGCCAAGTTAAATGTTTGTAGAAAGAGCAGACCGAAAAGCTCCCAAAATGAGAAAGAGTCCAGACTATAACATCGTCAACATGAAGCAGGAAGAAGAGAGAGTGAAGGATAGACGATAGGGCCTGGAAATGGGTGATTTCCTCTTCAATTAGGTTCCTTCGGAATGAGGGATTCCAAACTGTTTGACCTCCAATCCAAACCACCTCCTCAGCAATCACAGAGTCAGCATTACGTGTAAGGGAGAAAAGTGTGGCGGAAAATAAATACCGAACAAATAGTTTGTTACTTTTTGAAAGTAACAAATTGTTTGTTATTTTTGGAAAGTAACAAATTGTTTATTATTTCTATCTCCAAACAAGCAATGGTAATATCATTCCTTTAAGCAATTTACATTCCACTACAACCTCAAAAAAGACAATGTATTTCCTCTATGCAAAAGTTATACTCCTCTAGGTTATTAAAAATTATGAGTTTCACGAAACTGAAACAAAAAAAAGGCACAAATATTTTTTTCCATTATGACACATCTCTTAATGCCCATCCATACAACTTTCTACAGGATTTCAAAATTAATCAACATAAAGAATATGATCCGATGAATGAGAAAAGCTTCCCAACATCTACCTATGAATATCAGAAGATAATTCAATTAAAAGATGTATATCTAGAGGCTCCCTCATTTAAATCATACAATTACGGCCAATCACATCAGAAGTAAGCTATCCAACGGATTCAACAATTTGATAACTTTACAAAATGTTGTGAAAATGAGAAAATAATTTGGGTGCATTCTTCTAACCTGAAAACACTCATCACTTCAGATTTTCGAAGACAAATGAAAAATTCACTACTAAACAACTCAAGCAACTATAAACCATTGTAAACTTGCTTACCAAGATCCAGTTGATGACAGGGGACCATCTAATTGACAAGCATCAAACTATTAACCATTAAGTATTTTGTCTTGGCATATGATCTCTATTTCATATTTATGAAGTTTTCTCATAATTTTCAGAGCATATTTCAGATATTATCTGAAATTTCATAACATATTTTTGAATTTTGCTCATATATTTTAGATCTCTAATATGCCCCTATATTCAGTGAGTGAAAAGTAAAAGTTTCAAAGCAAAACATTCCTGAGTTTATTTTCTATTCAGTAAAAAATAACTGCTCAGGGTAGCATGACACAAAACATCCACAATGTTATGAGAAAAAATTGCTCAAGCCATACTACCTAAGATGATAAAAACAATAAAAAGCTAAGAAGTAAAATTAGAAACTCATATCAAAATTGGAAAGTATTTGATTGTGGGAGAAGAAGAAGAGCTTAGGAATACATGTTCAAGATAGGGTAACATTAAATAAATTTGCTCAAAACCATGTCATTTGATAAATCCAATAAAGAAATCGATGTGATGCTAAGAAAGAAATCAGAAATTCAGACTTAAACACCCAAGTGTTCGATGATGAGAGAACAGAAATACCCCAGAAATTCATGTTCAAGTTATAGCAAAACACGATTGAAAAGAAAAAAACAGTGGGCATTTTAGGTTTTGAGGAGTTATCAAGATAACAAAGAAAGAAGTTACTTAACAAAAGTTCTTCTGGAGAGAAAGGCAGCCAAATAGTAGAGTATAAGGAAAAACTTGCCAAACAAAAAACCCAAATAAAATTTTACATACATTTTCCTAGATTTGTCGCTCCTTGAAGTACAGATCTAGGCACAGTGAATGGTTTTTTGGGTCGCTTTGTGGCTCTTTCAACTGAAAACTCGATCTTCCAAACCCTAGCATGAGAAAATGGCAGATAATGGAGGAAGGTTGTAGAGACGGCAGTTTTGAGAAGAGTTGCAGAGAGTTACAAAGAGGCCTGAGAGAGAGAGCTCGGCTAGGGCTAGTAGTTGAGACAATGGTGAGGGTTTCAGAAATAGAGATAAGGGTTGCAAGTGGTTTTGTGAGAAACTCACAGCCATAGGCTGTATTTGATAAATTAGTTCGGGAGAGAAAAAGTTCCAACTGGAAGCTCCTAGCCACTTCACGAGGTATGGAGATTTTCTCATACCGATTGGTCTATTTTATGATAAACTATTCTGCCATGGGATAAATTTTCATATGTATTGCGCACAAATCAAACATATGTAATATATATTTCACATGAGAACTGTTTCATGTAATTCTTTTCATCAAAGTCACAAAATAGTCCCTCTAACCCAAGTTTTCAGGGGCGAAATAATAATGTTTTTTATAATACCTTTTGGGGAAAATATCAATTAAGGGGTTGAAACTCCTTATAAAATTACTAAAGGGATCAAACGATCATAAATTACATTTGAGGGTTTGCTCTTAAATTTCAATTTCAATCAGATACATCCCTAAAAAACCATTAAAAAGTTTCTAGATTGCCCTTCTTTGCAGTTGGGAAGCCCAAAAATTAGGAGCACTAGATAATTTTACCCCCAAAAAGGCCTTAATGAAATAATACAAGTACCTTTGCTCGTTCAGGGTTAGAATTAACAAACAGTTTGTTTAGTATTTGAAATGAGGAACAATATGGGGTATGTACCTCATTTGACATAGAGATGCTTCTATCATTCCGTTATGTTATTTGATATAGAGGTTATGTAAAATAATGTAAATACCATTCGTTGTTACTGATTTCAAATATCGAACAAATTGTTTGTTAGTTTTTGAAAGTAACAAATTGTTTGTTATTTCTATCTCCAAACAAGCAGGGGTAATATCATTCCTTTAAGTAATTTACATTCCACTACAGCCTCAAACAAGACAATGTATTTCCTCTATGCAAAAGTTATACTCCTCTAGGTTATTAAAAATTATGAGTTTCACAAGACTACAACAAGAAAAAAGGCATAGGTATTTTTTTCCATTATGACACATCTCTTAATGCCCATCAATACAACTTTCTACAGGATGCCAAAATTAATCAAGATAAAGCATATGATCAGATGAATGAGAAAAGCTTCCAAACACCTACCCATGAATTTCAGAAGAGAATTCAATTAAAAGATGTATATCTAGAGGCTCCCTCATTTAAATCATACATTTACTGCCAATCACATTAGAAGTAACATGTCTAACCGATTCAACAATTTGATAGCTTTACAAAATGTTGTGAAAATGAGAAAATAATTTGGGTGCATTCTTCTAACCTGACATTTGATGCCAGATGAACGACTTCAATTATCAAATTTGAAATCCAAAGAAGCTGAAGCTGGCTGTTGATTTCCTTTCTCAGCCTTTATAGCAGCAATAAGTGAATCAACATTAGAACCCAATCCCCGTCTCCCGACTAGCTTCACACCCAACTTCTCACAAAGATAATTCAACCTCATCTCATCCCCTCCTCTCACTTCTCTCAGATCAAGTGCTTGCTGCCTTGACAACAAAGTGTACACATGAAGCTGCTGCTGTTGGTTAAAATGCGACTGAAGTTGCTGAAATAGAAGCTTATTAGAATGTTGTTGATCTGATTTTGCCCCTTCGGTTCCCTTTCTTTTGGTGCCACCAATCGTAACTCTCAATATTGCCATTGGTTTTGGATCAGTCTGAGGACCAAAGAGAACAGCAAAGCTTCCAAATTCAAGATCAGGTTGCCTGAACAAATCAGCAAGAAGAGCAGCACATGACTGCAAATTCTTAGAGGGACCTCTTTCCACTTTTGCCTTCAAGGATCGAGCATTTGCATAGTGAGATATATTGGCAGCCTCCCTCAAACCACTCAAGAATGCACCATGCATAGTAGCTGGGTAACGCCGAGTAGTCGCCTCGCCTGCAAAGAAAAGCCTTCCATCGCCAACATTTTCTGCCAATATGTCATAATCATCCCCTGATGCTCCCACTGCAACATGTGAATAAGACCCTAGACTGAGAGGGTCACTACCCCATCTCGTGCAAACTGTTTGAATAGGGTCTGGAACATCGATTCCTTTGGGGACATATATACCTAATACCAAAAGGATCCAGTTGAGAAAGAGGCTAAATGTTGGTTTCAAAACATACTCAAGTTTTACCAATCCAAAAACTAAAGAATATATAAAAGCTTTTTTACCAGAAATCGTATCTATTTATATAAATTATTTGACTAGCCATGGCCAAAAGATACCTGGTTCCAAATCAGTTGAAAATAGGGCTGCAACTTGGATGTGCTAGCCAGCGGACATGGCTTCAAGTAGGGTTCCAGACACTTCGAAGGCCCGGGTACAGAATCAGGCTAGTATGTGAGGCCAAATAAAATATGGGCCGGGACTGGGCCACTTTGGCTGGCCTGAGCCCAGAATTTTATGTAATTTCTATAATATATATTATATATTGCATGTCAATTTATATCATTGAACAACACCTTGAGCTCAGCCCAGTTTGATCCAATTTTTGGTCTAGGACACGTCGAACTCGTCAATGATATGATTTGGGCACCAGTCAAGGGCCACAAGCTATGGTTCATTTTAGGCGACCAGTCAAAAAACTTCAGACTGGCCAGGTCTAGCTCAGCCTGAGCCTGGCATGTTGGCAATCCGATTTGAGATAAGAGCAAAATTTGGACTCCAAATGATGCACAAAATTTACCAATAACAAGTATCTTCTTTAAGTTTGTCTTTGTGTGAATAGACTAGGTAACCCAAATTCCGTAATCATTTTAAAATTATTGACCCCATTTGGTAGATAGATACCTGGTTCCAAGGAATTAAGTTGAGGAAAAAGCTAAATTTGACATAACAAGCAGATCCAAGTTTTGCTCAAAATAGAAATGATTACCCAACGTTCGTGTTCTTTTTAAAATTCATAATTTGGTTAGAACATCTTATTTACTCAAATATTGTAGTATTTTAAACTCATTTGACTTAGCCAGCTACCAAATCCCAAATTAACCCCCCTCCCCCAAAACCAAGAAGAAACATATACCCAGGAAAAGAAATTAAACTAAAGGAGAGGGAACATGCACAAGCATTTATTAGCAAATTTCAGCAACGAAAAAAGAGAAATAATTGAAATCAAGTACATCATACCCCTGAGTATTTGAAGAACTCGAGTAACAGCATCTGTTGGAGGCATGCTTTCGAACCTGTGCGCAGCGTCACCCGCAACCAATGCAATGAGGAGAGGCCCCCCAGCCACAGTAGCATAGCTATAAAACAAGAAGAACTCCCCTCTCCTCATTGGATCATCAGATAGATGCCCAAAAGTGTCAAGATCTAATTCCCAAAAAACATGGGGAAAGAGCATTGCTACCTTGTTCAGTAATCCAAAACCCAATCTCTTTATCCCATCAAGCTTCCTTTGAGGAAGCTCAGGTATAAACCTTATCGAATTGCTCTTCAAAACCCCTAGTGGTACCGTACAAAGGGCCATTTCTCCCTCAAAAACCTGGTTTCCGGCATGAACCTGTACCCCATCTGACCCGTATCGAATTGTGTGCACCATCTTCTCGTAAAACACAGGCACGTTCTCAACCAAAGCCTGAACCAACCTCCCATTCCCCCCCGGTACAAAACAGTGATCACCTCCCATGTCATAAGGATCATCTTGGTCCCAAAAAGCGAGCGATAGCTTAGAGAGAAGACCGGCATTTGCATACTCCAAATTTGCTAGATGCCAATTAAAAAGGCTCATTTCCTCCATGTTCACTGCATCCCCATAAACCTCCCTGAAAGTCTCCAATGCAGCACCAAGAGAAACATCAACTGCAACTTCCCCCATCAATTGCCTTAACCTACTTGCCTTATCCAACAATCGATTAAAAGCATTCTCGATCTTGATATCCATGACTGGATCAACAGGTAGGCCATCAGTTTTATAGAGGGGGCACTTATCCCGGACCTTGTGAAGTGGGTAAGAGAGCTGTTTGGCCAAAATCCCAAGTGGGTTTCCTAAGGTTCCAGTGAGAACACTTCCTCCTAGGTCAGCTGAGGCAACCTTGTTTCCCCCTTCCATTTTCTTTGTATAAACCCTTCCTCCAGCTCTCTTTCTACCTTCTAAAACAACCACTTTGAACCCGGAAGCCATCAACTGTCGAGCAGCTGCCAAGCCTGCAAGTCCGGCACCAATTATAACAACATTCGATCGTGTGGGTTCCACTGGTAACCTCTCCTTGATTGCAGGTGCCACCCCAAAATTTATGTAACCATGAGAAAGCATGAAATTGTATGCAGAATCCAGCAAGTTATGATAATGGGGTGGAATGGCTTGGAGAAAAGCATCTTTGCTTAGCCAGGCAGAGACATTCTCTCTCCATCTACTGAGAATGTGGTTCCGAATGATGATGTAATTGACTTGTTCTAAACCTCCAATTACAGAGACAACGCCTGCTTCAATCTCCTCTTCGGTGAGAGAATCAGCAGGAAAACCAGCAGAGAGAGCAACAAGGGCCTCTGTAGTGGCCTCTTTATTGATGCATATGATCTCTTCGCTCATATCAATGGGGAGTGTTTGCGTTGTCGACCAAGTTGTGGGTTCATTTGGGTTTCTATTACTGAAGTTGCTTGGAGATGGGTTTACATTATTAGAGGAGGAATTGGAAAATACCTGTTTCATTGGAATTGGTTGGTTGGAGGTGGGTGGAGCAGTGGGAGGAGCTGCTGGTTTTCGCCTGTTGTTGCTTCTCTTTCGCTTGCTGGGGGCGAGGGGAGAGAGAGGAGAGAGACGGGGTTGTGGTAGCAATGGTCCGTCCTGGGCTTCGCGCTGGGAAGGAGCGGCCATGGTCCCTGAAATCTGAGACACAGCGGTGTGATCGTCCATGGTTGAATGCTTGGTGAAGAAGGGAAAGATGTGAAATGTAAAACAAAGAAGATAAAATTTCGAAAAGGGCTGGGGGTTTGGATCATAGTCAGCAAATCACCGTTTAATCAGTGATTTTTTCAAAGAAATCATCGTTTTTATGGAAACACTTTTAAATGGCGACTTTTTTTAAAAGGTCGAAAAAAAATCGCATAGTTTTCATAAAAACGTTTAAAAAGTGGTTTTTTAATAATACGATTTAAATCAGGCCAAAAATTCGTATTTTTTTTTACCTTATATATATATATATATATATATATATATTTAAGATTTGATTTTCCCTGTGTATTAGAGCCATTGCTACTTTCATGCTTTTGAAAAAAACAATATTATTTCAAAATAAAACCTAAAATAGAAATTTTTATCCCCACTGTGTTCTTCAAAGCTACAATGGCATATTGAAGGTACGATTTTTTTTTTCTCTTTTTTTAAAATACTTAAACAAATAGATACAGATTTCAATTGTTATTATGGAAAATCATTGTGTAAATGAAATACTGTTTATAGCACACCATTTTGTAAAGAAAATCATTGTGTAAAGAAAATCATATACATGCAGATTTCTATGATTATTTGTTATAATTGTTTTTATGAAAATACTGTTTATGGCACAAATTAGAACTTAAAACAGTCTTTTACAGAGAGTGTGACTACAGGACCAAGTAATCAATATTTTGTTTTTGATTATGTGATAACAAAGATAAACAATATAGTGTAAAATGTAAACTTATAGGAGCAAGCAATAGTTCCTTCAACACTGCTTGTTGTTTCCCCAAAAAAATGTATAACCCTTTTCATTTTCTCTCTCTAAAAATCAATTAGGGCCTCTTCACAAATCAGTATAGTTAGGGATTTCTCTCAAACATCCCAAATCAAAGAGAAAGTCTTCAAACTATCCCAAATCAACATCCCATCTTCCCTTTCTCTCTCTAAAAATCAATTAGGGCCTCTTCCATTATGGTTTGTGAAGCCGATGACCTTTTCCTTCTTCCTTCTTCCTTCTTCCTTCTTCTCTCTCTTTAAACCCTAATGGCTATGAGCCCAGCCCTATTTTTTTCTTTTCCTTCTTCCTTTTCTTTCTAAACCGTAAATACAGAGATGTGAAACCAAATTTCTACAAGTCTCTTCAAATTTCTACCAGCATCTTTTCAATTAAATAAATTTATAAAACTTTAACCTAGAGTGACCATAGTCACCATACTATAGTTAAATCATTGCAATAACAAAACAAAAATCTGTGTATTTTTCTTGTACGTGCGAAGCAGGTGTGATGTTTAAGTATTTAATGAATAACTTTATATAGTATATTTGTTACCATATCATAGTTACAGCGTATAACGAATAAATTTATATAATATATTTATCGCCATACCATAGTTAAAGCATTTAATGAATAAACTTGTATAGTATATTTGTTTTTGGTATGTAATAAGTAAGTGCGATGTTTCTTAAAGTATTTAATGCGTATATTTATAAGGTACATTTTTTTTGGTATATACTAGCTAATTGTGTATTTAATATTGGATGATTGGATGAGAGTCACGAGGCTATAAATTAATTGACTTAATTATATTAATCTGGTAAAGTTTTTGTGGATGAATTAGTTATTGATGGCTTTGACATAATTTTGATTTTTTAAAATTTCAAAATTTCGAATATTATAAATTTATCCGATTTTTTTAGTCCAATCCAATATATTAGTGATATCTTTATATGAAGTATTTTTGCTGATCCATATTTTTTTTCCAATTTTTTCATCCGACTTTTTAAAATAAAAACGATTTGTTTCCGATTTTATGGTGAGCCGACAGGTCCAAAACCTGGACCCGAACACTATTCGAGTCTAGGTCTGGGTCCGGTTGGACCCGACCCGTACCCCGTAAACTATTGGAGATAAAATCATTGTTCACAAAAATGGCTGATTTGAATCGAAATTGGCTAGTTAGATCGGAACCGCGATGGTTCCGACTCCGGTTAGGGCTGATAGGGGTACCAATAGCCTAGGGTACACTTTCGGCCCAAAATTGGCCAATTAGAGGTCGAACCAGCCAAAACCGTTGTTTAGTAAAATCAGCCGGTTTTATGCTACTCGGACCGGTTAGACGATACAACAGATGTTTTTACGAAATAATAGTAATGTACCCATTACGGCCGTTATTTTGAAATCAGGGCCGTTATTTGTAACAGGCATTCTTGAATCCAAATTTTCACTTTTTTATTCGTTTTCGTGCTTGTTTTTTTTTTTTATCTTTTTTCATGATTTATTGCAATAAATCACTATCTAGAATCTATAAAACAAGAAATTTGGATTGAAACATCGAAAGAAAAAAGAGTTTCTTCGATCGAAATGGCCGATTTTATAGGTTTTTGAAAATTTCCGTCATTCTTTCAATAATTTCTTCAATACCTAATGGTTTGAAGAAATTTAGTGAGTTTGATAGATAATTGTAGGATTTATCATGTTCATATTTCAATTTGTTAAAAAAACCAAATATTATGGGTTGATTTTGGTACGAAATGCTGCTACTCAAAGAACCTGTGTTCGATCCAAAAAACACAAATTTTTGATCAATTTATTGGTCGTTTTTTAACAAATTGAGTTGTGGATTTTTATAATCAAAGAATAATCTCTCAAATAAAATAGGTATGTCTATTTATGATTGATTAAATGTTTTAATATGATTTTTTTTGTTGCACCATATCATGAAAATTTCATAGATCTCAAATTTCGGCCACTTTTTCAATTAAATTAAAAATAGAGAATATTGCTTTATGAGTTTTGGTGTGTTGGAAAGATGATCGAAGGCATGTATATTTAATTGTTTGATTATCCAAATATTGAAGGTCGTTTCTTGCTCGAAATATTGCTTGATTTTAGGGGTTTTTGAAAAATCAATTTTTCTAAAAAAAATATTTTTTTAATAAAATTATGTTTTTGTGATGAATATAGGAAGTCGTTTTCAATTTTTCTTAATAAAATTATTTTTAATAGAATTATGATTTTTTAACAAAATTATGTTTTTTGATGGTATGGGAAGTGTTTTCCATTTTGCTTAGTAAAATTATTCTTTTTGATAAAATTATTTTTTTGATGAAATTGATTCTTTTTTTTTTATAAGTGCATGATAATATTACTCGATCTTTTGCTTGATTTTTTTAATTATGTTTTTTAAAGTGCATGATATAGTTATATTTGTAATGATGGAAATGGGACAATTTTTTTTTTAAGTGCATGTAAAATTTTTCATTGCCTTATGTTCAATGAAACACTATACCATCGTCTTGTATGTGCTTGGTTCTTCTCTTCTTCTTTTTTTTTTTTTTCCTTCTTCTTTTCATTTTCTATCAAGGTTTTCGGAATGATATGGAAATAATCTTTAAAAGATCAGCCTTTTTTTTTAAATCGGCCAACTAACTAGAGATAAGTCACTGGCCGATCCCGATCTAGCCCGATTCCATAGAGAGAGAGAGAGAGAGAGAGAGAGAGAGAGAGAGAGAGAGAGAGAGTAGTAGT